TGTATCTCGAAAAAAAAAATTATTCAATTTTTTTTTTTAATAGAAAAACGCTGGAAGCCCAGAAGAAATATCATTGTATTAAATATTGTCATACATTGGTGATGGAAACCATCAATTAAAAAGCTACTAATAACAATTAATAATTTTTAATTAATTACTAATAACTATTAGTGAATATTAATACTTTTTGCCGCCACCGCGGTAGGCTAGAGAGCGCTTCCAGCGCGCGAAAATTTAAAATGAGTAAGTGTTTTATTTCGACAAAATTTAGTGAATTTTGAATTCTTTAATATCTGTAGCAAATCAAATAATGTTATATCACCTTCATATCTGTTGAATTTTTATCATGTAACCAATCAAAATTTAAGAATTATAATTACTTGCTTTATGTTGGTAAATTGCGCGTGAAGGTTTTGCTTCTCTTACAATGTTAATTCCTAATTTATTTTTAATTTTTGACCATCATTGTATTCAATACTGTCATACGTTATGGCTGAAACAAATAATGGTAAGTTTTTATAATTATTGTACTGTCCCTACCTCAATAAAGAAAGCGCTGCATATTTTTTATGTATGTATGAACAATATTAACCTTAATTAAGGTTTTAAAAAATGTCACGCATTCTCACACTCTCTGTTAAGTGTTTTTAATAGCTTTTAAATTCTTTTAAATAAATCTAAAATCAAGTGCTAGTAGGCGCCACAAATATTTTTTGTTTGAAGCATTTTAATAGAAAGTTGCTTTTAAATTATCTACTTAGTAGACTATGCATTTACAAAAGTAAATGGATCTCGGAAAAAACTTAATTCAAAAATTTATTTTTTTTCAAAAAATAGAGAAAAACGCTGAAAGCCCAGAAATAATATTATTGTATAAAATACTGTCATACGTACCAATTAGGTTTTATTTTTTAATAGTTCAGTTTTATTTTTGTAATTTACTCATTAAAACTAAAGATCTTAATTTTGCCATCACACAAATATACTTTTGTTAAAGTATTATATTGTCGATTTGTTTTTCTATTGGTAGTAAAAAGTAATTTTTATTAAAATTTTATCAGTAAGACCAAAAAAATTAACATTAACCAAGAATTACTTAACCAAATAATTTCTTCGCGTTAAATTGGCTCTCTAGCCCACTGTGGGTTGTTTAAAAAAACTAATATTTTTTTTCTTGGGTTTAAATCATATCTAAGCGTGGGTGATAGTTACCTCTATCTTTTTAATAAAAAGGGTGGTCGAGTAATGCCTTATTTTCAAGTTATTTTTGCCCTTTCGAGCGATTTTAAACTTGCGAAAAAAAGTATAACAAATTTAAACAAAATTGGACCACTTTTATTTTTTTTAGTTTCCGCTTTGCCAAGGCATTTGACGGTTACCGACGTTTATCGATGCTTTAAGGTAGTTGTCGTGCTGTAAGCATACCACCAGAAAATTTTAATTTTTTGTATACTTATTAAGGACATGACAATAGGTACAATTATCCTTAAAATTTGAAGTCGATTGACCGTCTATAACCCGAGATAAATTCAATTAACATGGATTGTATACGCTTTCTGTAGTTCTGTACCAGTTTCTTAGTTATAAAAAAAACTAACTGTCAGAAGCTTTCAAAAAACTAACAGTCTTTTAGTGTTTTTTTGCTGAGTTTAAAAAAAAATAATAAAAAATGTTTGACCGTCCAATTGTTTATAAATAACCGTTTAAAGTTCAACAATTTGTAAAAAAGTATACATACTAGTGAGTCAGATAAAAACAACTTGGCAACGCTGTACGCGAGTATAGATATTATTTGCGAAGTAAATTCAAACAGACTGATTTAATCTCAAATATATTTATTGGTTGCGCATAAGCGTCGTTGCCGGATTAAAACTTGTGAAAATACTTGAAAGTATTACGTAAAGGTAACGTCTCCAAGGGTACAGTCTTGCGAAAAAATTATGAATCACTACAAGCTCGTATACTTTTACGGTGCGTATAATCTAAAAATTTTGGACAATATTGTACCACGACAACTACCTTAAATTAAATGTTGATTTGTAGCGTAGAAACATTTATCAAATTAGCTGCTAGTTGTAGCTAGTTCCAAAGTTTTTTGAAAAATTGTGATAAAACTCAGAGCACAAAAGCCGATATCAAATATTTTTGTTGGGATAGTTCAACCAATTTATGTGATCTTTTTATTTAAAAAAATGTTGTATGAATGTATAGTAGATTACAAGGCTTTAAATGAAGTGTATTATATTTTAATTTATTTTTATGTATTGGGCAAACAAAATCTTTTCTTCGCCTAAGGCCGCGCGCTATGAACACGTGACACCATAGTGGCATAAAATGTAAAAAATAAAAATACAAAAAGGGATATTAACGGGGAAAGGGTTTTATCTGGTGTATATAAACAAAGGTTGATAATTTTATATGGTATATAAAATAATCCTGTGATTTGTTGTCAGTTTATTATTAAATTATTTAATGGTTACAAAATCAAATCAATTTAAATAATTATTTAAAATAATCTGTAAAAACAAAGTTTTTTGTTTAACTTTTTTATGAAATTCTCAGACGTTTGAGTAATAAAAAGCATTGATTGATGTTTTTCGTATTATTATTATTTTACGTGATTTTCATGATTTTGTAGTGGTCAATTTGACCTGAAAATTAAAAAGCCATAAATTGAAACCCCATAATTTTTCAAAGAAGTTATTTATGGAACGAATAATCCTATTCGTGATGTCAAATTTGTCAAAGTCTAACTTTGACAAAGCACACATTTGTACACAGATTTTTATAAAATTGTAGTATATTATTGAGAATACTTTTTAATACTGTTCACATCATTAAAAAAAAATCCTGATGAACTTAACAATTCTTCCAAATTCGCGAATAAAATTTTATTTTATACTGATGTTCTGAATTTCCATATGGCTTTTTTGGAAAAACTATTACTATGTGGCATGTACCAATGTTTGGGCTAACTACTAAAAAAAGAATCGTTTAATTAACTTTAATTCTTATCGAGAAATTTTAAAAAATGTAATCCTGGACACGATTTTTTACCAAAATCACAAAAAATCAAATAACTCCAAAACTAATAACTTTTGGATAAGGCAATATGGGGTTCAAACGACTCAAAATAATCTGTAGAATCACCTCCTTAAATTAATGCACCTACTTCTGACTCACCCTGTATACAGGGTTAGCCAAAAATCACTTAATTTTAATAAAGCAAAAGCGTTAATTCATGGTTTTGGCATAACACGCAAAAAAGATTTATCCCCAATTTTTTTTTATATATTTCTACGTTTATCAGGTTACAAAATGACATTCTTATTAACCTTTTACAAGAAAAATAGATTTTTAATAAAATTAAATAAAATAACGCTTAGAGAATTTTAAAATGTTGTTTAATTTAGGCTTAAGTTTTCAATTTTGAACGAAAAACTGCTTGAAGTTTTTTGATCGGCACTCTTTGGTGATTTAAAAACTATATTTACCAAAATTCTAACTGCTTTTTTTTAATTTGTAAAAAATTAATTTTTTTTTTAAATTATTTGTTTATCGCAAAGTCTACCTTTGCCAGAGTACATATTTGTACACCGATTTTTATTAGAGTATATTGTTAATGAGACTTAAAGAATACTGTTTTTATACTGAGCACATCATTAGGTTAATACAGGGTTAGCCAAAAATCTCTTTTTTATATAGTAAAAAGCATAATACACAAAAAAGATTTATCTTCAAAAATTTAAATAAAATCATAATTTTCAAAAAATTTTGAAAAGATTAGCAGCTAGGATTTTGGTAAATATCATTTTTAAGTCACGAAAGGGTCCCGAACAAAAATTGCAATCGTTCAGGCACACCGTGTGCTGAAGAGCTAGCAGCGAAGCGCACAGCGGGACAATAAATTTAATATCTCCATAATGACATACGAAGGACAAATTTTTGAGTACATTTTATTAAATAAGAACGTTTGCCGCATATTATGACACAAGTTTAATTTTTTTTCAGCGTGAAGCACACATACAAAATTTCAATTGTTTATAATAAATGTATGCAAAAATGTTTTATTTAAACAAATTTACTATAATTAAATGATCATTCTATAGTCTAAACATTTCTACAATAGTGTGTAAAATTTAATTCAATTATACGGAGTGGTCCCAGAGATTCTATTTTTTCAATTTTACCGTGCTCTAAAGTTTCACGAAATTGTTAACCTTAATAACATTTCCAAAAAAACGAATTTTAAAATATTTTTTTACTCTGGCATATGAGTCATGCCTACTACACAATAATGTGATTATTTTCAAAATCGGTGATTTCGTGAAATTTTCTGGTCCCACTTGACGTGGCTTAACTCATAATAAAGTACATACTTAATATACTATATTATAATATAGTATAATGCTATACATTTTGAAAATTATATTATAATCGTGATTTTAATAAAATTTACAAAATGTACGCAGACAAAATTTTTTTGCATAACAGTAAAAGTAACTTTCCAAGTTTTAACTAAATACGATTTTATTTTGTTAAACAATTATTTTTAAAGGGAATAACTTTATAAATGTGTATAATTTAATGTTTTTCAGTTAACCCAGAGCTACGAATGATACTTAAAGTATTTGAATAACAAAATATATATAGGTTTACGAATGTTGAATGCAAAATTATGCATAAACAAGAGCTAATTAAGGAAAGTAATTGTCATTTTTAGAATTAAAGCACCCAAATTTCCCTATTTTTGTATAAAATTTTTACATATAAATCAAAAACAAAGTGCAGACTTTCTTATGCAAAACGTATATTATGGTTTAATATGTTAATATGTTCAGTTTACATGGAAGCACCCCTGTATTTTGTTTATTTTTGTATGAATAGATTTGAATTTTTGATTAGTTGTATCTTTCATTGTAATTTTTTAAAGATGTTAGTGGTGGACTTAACTGTGTACGAATTTTTATTAAAGTATTAACAAAAGCTTTTAGTTTCAGAATATGACTTACTGGATGCTGTTAAAATTCCATTCCAAGATCCCAAGACTCAGTACATAGACGAGGACGGCCATGACGGATTTCCAGCTTTTGGATTTAAACTCGGTTCTGATGTAAAAATTGCACACCGTCAACTTTTACCGGATAAATTGCCTGCGGAATTTTCAATTTTAATAAGCGCTAAACCAAGATCTCGCAGAGCTGGCTTTATTTTCGCGGTGGTTAACCCTTACGACACAGTTGTCGAGCTCGGGGTCAAGGTCACTCCCGAAGGAACTACATCGACGATTTTGTCTCTTTTTTACACCAACGCAACTGAAATCAGCTCCCAAAGTATAGCCAACTTTACGGTTAATAGGTTTTACGGCAAATGGACCAGGTTTGCATTTAAAATTTCCATAGAAAATGTTACTTTGTACTTCAATTGTAACGAAACTGAGACAGTTGCCATAAAAAAAGAACCGCTTGAACTTATTTTTGATTCTGCGTCTACCCTCTATATCGCACAAGCTGGACCTACTTTAAGTGAGCCCTACGAGGTAAGTAATAATTATATTTCCAATTTAATATAATCAATCGTTTGAATCTGTTACTTAAGTATTTTAAATAATTTTAAAACAAAATTCTCTAAAAGTTAATTTTAAAGCCAATGCCACTATGTAACAAAAATGTTTATGTTAAAATTATATATAAGTCATTCCTTCTCAAACATTACCACCTTACCGATTTGGCTTAAATTTTGTATACGAGTCATTCCATATGAAATCAAGAAATTTGAATTAAAAAGTGTGTCGCATGATTTTTGATTTAAATACAAAAAATTGAGGATAATCTTTGAGGTACCAGAAATGCTAATCCACCATCATTTATTTTTTTAATCGTATAACTTCAAGTCAGTACCCATCCGAAATCATAAATTGGGTCAATTTCATACTTGTACATAATGGGCTCTAGCTTTTAACTTAGGATAGGTATTGAATTTATTGATACTTTATTTGATTGGGTAGTAAATGTACATTTCATATTATAAAATAAAATTGAACAGTTAAAACTAGGAACCAAATGGTTATCATCTAAAATTTACAAAAAAGATTCTCATTTTTACCATTTTTAATTGGACATTGTGTCAACCCAGTTGCACATTAAGGTTTGATTTATAGTGTTAACCATTCTAATGCCACGACTTAACTTTTATTGTTCTAGAATGATATCTCCTACGAAAAAAAAAACTTTGATCATCAAAAATCTAATGTGGAGGAAAAAATAAAGATTTTATATTTTCAGAAATTATGGTCTCTTCTTTAGGAAATATGATTTTTTTAAGTGCCACTTTTATAAAAATCAAAACAAAGTTTTTTACACTGACATTAATGGCCGTATGCAAAAATGTTTATTAAACTCTGATCATATTAATCCGACGATTTAAGTTGATCAATGATTTAAGTTTTTGCCAATTTGACACAACTCCCTAAAAACGTATAATTAATAAACCTAATTAAGTAATTATCTTTAAAATGTGTATATTTTCCTTTTAAAGTCAACTTCTATGCACTAACATAAGATTTAATTACATACTTAAGTCCAAGTAATCTGGGACTTGTGTCCAACCAATAACATCATTTAAAAAGTTATCTGTTAAATTTTATTTAAATGCACCTTAATTACAAAAATGATACAATTAGCCATAATGAATAACGTCAAATTAACAATTGTATCATGTGTCATTTTGGTATACCAATTATAATTAAGGTGCATTCAAACAAAATCTAGTGGATTTTATTGACAGATTCAGGCGTTATAAATTAAATTAGAGCATAAACATTAACAATGACTTAATATCATGGTAAAAGTTGTAATAATTGTTTATAAACATTACAAAACCTGAAAATATGAAAAAAAAATAGTAAACAGGTTTTCTATGGCAACTGTCAAGTAAATGTTGTTACGCAGTCATGTACACGCTTACAAAATTTAGACTTTATTTAAAAATAAGTTTGACAAGCAAAATTATGTTTACCCTCTTATTTTACTGTTTTTACGTGAGTGTTTTTGCTATTTATTTTTATCATTAACAAGTTCGCATATTCTACAATTTATTTATAATAATGGAGTGTTAAATTGGTGTTTTCAAAGAAGAATATTCTCAAAGCAGCGAGCGAGATAAGTGAAAATGATAAAATTATCCTAGTTTAGAATACAGGCTATATATACTAAATATAATATTTGTGAATATCATTACAAAAAATTATCGTTCTGTTAGGGACATAAACAAATTAACCTTATTCCAGGCTTCGCTATTTGTACCCGATGCTATGATTTTATAAACAAGAATTATGGAGCTTAAAATTTAATTACGATGTCGCAACAACCAGAATTTGAACCAGATTTTATAATAATTTAATCACTTAATGAAGTATGTAGTATTTTGGATGAACCCCCTTCTTTAAAGAAAATTATCGTTTTGTCCCCATCTCAAATAATAAATTAAACTTGCAACGATATTTAAGCTCAAAAAACCTCGAGATAGTAAAAGTTCGTAATTAAAAATAAATAATGCATTCATGTTTTTAATAAATAACTGAATTTAAAAAAAATATGCTTTTATTTTTCATTTTTACCATAAATTGACATAATCGTAATAATTTAAATAAGTTATACAACTTCAATACCTACATTAAAATTTATAGATTATTATCAAACTAATTATTTTCATATTTTTGTAAAAGTAGCACTTTTAAAAAATCATATTTCTTAAAAAAGTAAAAATAACAGGATAGCACTAACTGAATATAATTAACAGATTTATTTTCTGAAAATATCACATTTTTTAATTTTTTCTTCACATCGGTTTTTTTGTGGGTCAAAGTTAAATATTTTCAAAAATTATCAATTTTCACAATTATTTTTTCTTAGAAGATATTATTCTAGAACAATGATAATTATGTCATGGTATCAAAAGGGTTAATACTTTAATTAAAAAAAAAAACAGGGTCCAATTAAAAATCGTAAAAATGAGAACAAATTGTAGAAATTTCAGATAGTCGCCATTTTGTTCCTATAGGAACTAAACTGGAACAATTATAATTGTTCCAGTTTAGTTTTATTTTGTAATGGGTCATTCCACGTTACTCAGGGATTTTTGTCCCGCCCGTATAGTAAATATTACTATTTGTAGATAGTAAAATCAATTTACTATACGAACATACTAAAAATTAAAATATATATTATACATTTATGATTTAGTAATATTGGTGTTGTAATCTTTACTAAAAGTGTATAATAAAAAATAGTATTTTGTATTACAATCTTAATATTGTATTAAAGTAAATTTTACTATATTTTTTTTACTATCTAAAATTTACTATACATTTTTCTCCGTGTACCCTATAAAACAAAGCATAAAACATTTCAATACATATTCTTAAGAAAAAGCTAGAGCCCATTGACCCATGACTAGAAGTTATACGATAAAAAAAAAATAATGGGGGTTTAGCATTTCTGGTACCTCAAAGATTATCCTCAATTTTTTTTATTTCAATTAATAATCATTCGGCACACCCCATTTGTTGATTTCATATGGAATGACTCATACGGTACTTAAATAGCCCTCTCTTTAACATGTTTAAATTCAAGAAAACAATTAATTAAAGGATTTATTTAGGGGGGTCATTTTTTCAATTTTTTATTTGCCTCTGCAATGCTTTATAAAAATTAAAATAACAAAAGCATCATTGTAAAAAGCAATAAATACAGCCCCCGAAAAATATTATAAAATATAACATATTATGTTTTTCTTATTTTAGTTTTTCAAAATGACGGGATAAAGGCCAAAACATAACAAACTAAAAAATCAAATTCCTTTGATTATATTCATATTGACCTTTAATCCCATCACATAGCTGTAGTTTATGCTCATTAAAAAAATCACGGAAATCAAAGAATTGAAAGTAATGTGGATATCATGCCCATTCTTGTAATGCCAACTTCTACAAAAAAATTGGTTTCTTTAAATGAAAAAACCCATGTATTTGATAATATAATATACTCAATACATTTCCCAAATTACCATTTACCAAATTTTATTTTTCTAAATTAAATAATTATAAAGTTATTTAATATACAGTGCTTGTCCAAAAGATGAAAAATGTTTTTGTTAATTTAATAAACAATAGTTCATTAGACCAGGCGTAGGAAGCTCATATTATAGCCGAGCATACATTTCCCTGCCAAGGCGCCAGCCGAGGCACTGGATTGAGTGCGAGGCAATGAATAAGCTTTCGCAATAAAAAAGCTTTCGCCGCCGTGTTTTATAAAAAAAATGAGCATTTAATTAGAATATTTCTTTAAGTTTTAGGTCAGATATATATTTAAGCGTATAATAATTTTTATCCAATCCAACCCAAGTGTTATTAGTCGTGCAAAATATCGTAAACAAATTTCAAAATTTTATCTGATAGCATGTTTTCAAATACAATTTTCCTTGAAAAAAGCATTTATAAGAACAATAGTTTGTCAGAAATATTCTAAACCAACATTTAAAACCAAAAGAAAATACTACAGGTTTCAATATTTAAATAAAAACAAAATCTTACCCAATTTGTTGAAAAAAATATTTAACATTTCCCCCATTTTGCTTTAATTTTGGAAGCATTCTGACCGTGGGGGGATTTACGTTGTCCGAAATCAAAAACAGGCAAAATTGGGCAAAAATTTTATTTAAATTATAATTAAAATAAAACTTATACAATAATTTCAAGATTTTAACTTATAAATGCAATTTTTTATACACTTGTAATTACTTTTGTCTAATTTAACCGACTCTGTAGCTCTTTATATAAAAAAGATACCCATACATGGAAGGATACTTGGTGCACCCTGTATATGGTACCTACTCCTAGAGAGTTTTTATTATCTATAACCTATGTAATAGAAAGTACCATCTTTAGGAGTCCCATTAAAGCTGATTACAATTTTTATTTCTCAAAACTATACTGTACTGTTTAATAAATTCAATTTTTTTTTAATTTTACAAACCACCAAACCACTGACGGTGGTCTAGTGGGTATGGCTGTTTATTTGTGTTGTCCTATTGTGTAATAGTCCTTCGGAGGGGACTTTAAGCCCGCGGTCCGTTCCTACCCCTAACCCGCACAAGCCATTCAGTTGGCTTATGGGACTTCTTAAGAAGTAAGGGTGGAACTAAAAGAGCACTTTTGTATATAAACTTTGTTTTTTTTTTAAATAACATCATTTATTTATTGCCCTGTATCTCGTTCATTTTACTAATGCATATTTGTGATAATCGACCTTTTTAATCTTCAATTCCTATAGGAATACAGTTAATGTATTGTCTATAAGTTATGGAACACCCTGTATAATTTTGTTAAGGAATCAAAAAGTTTATATATTTATACAAGTATTGGACGAAAAGAAAGTAAATAAAATAGGTCCCAACGGGTCTGGGGTCTGTGGTTTATCCAGGTTTTCAGATTTAACAGCATGATTCCAGATGAACCTAAGCGATTCTCGATCCGGATGCCGATATTGGTCCGACCCCAACGAGAAAATGAGATTGTATAAGCTATTTGATAAGAGGACGCTCTCTGAACTTTTTAGTGTCCAAACAGTTATTTTATTTCGAAAGTTTGTCAGTGTAATTCTTTCTTTATTAGGGCACAAGCCTTGCGTTACCTCATTAAGCCTAACAACAGTTTTAAAACAACTCCTGATATAATTGGTTAATTTATTTTGATGTTAAACGTATGATTGCAGCAGGCAGTGCGCAGTCGGAGCCGTCAGTCGGCGTTCAGCAGCGAGCGTTGCGATGCCACTACACGACCCGTCGCGACGCTTCTTTGACACAGTAGCGCTTCGACGCTTATCGCTGTTAGTTCAAGCCGCTCTCGCCACGAGCGCTGCATCCCCTTATTAAAGTTTGAAACTTCTTTGCTATGAAACCTTATATTTTAAAATTGCACTATCAATCTAAACATTCTGGTTTACTTGAAACGATTTTTTTACCTTTTCATTGTTGATGTGTTGTGATGTGATTTGGTCGTGATGGCTATGGTACTCTCTGGCCAGAGCCGGCTTTTGGTCGCTCTGTGTTTTACCCTTTTGGTGCTCGCCGGTGCTTTGGCTGTTAGTTCTTTTACCGGTTGGTTCCAACCTGGATATCTATCAGAACCGGTCCAAGCAAAACTTAGTCAGGTACCTAAATGTTTGTTTGTAAACACTTATATTATCATATCATCATTTAATCATATCCACAAATCGTATATCTGCTAAGGGAAAAGAAAAAAGTGAAAATTGTTAATGAAAGAAAACATTCAAATAAAAATATTTAATAATTATGTTATAAAATTTAAATTGTTCAAAAAATAATTATATTATATTGTTTATTTACAAATACCTAGCTTCCCCAATAAACAAATATTTTTTTTTCGTTTTCCATCTTTAGTCATTCTAATGTCATTAAAAAGAATGGTAATTTTTTATAATAAAAACTGCATTTTTAATGGCAAAGAATAATAATTCGGTCAGGTCCACTGTAAAATCTAGCTGTAAGATAAATAAATAAATATACGAATAAAATATCATCAGGCATTATTTTAAGTTTCTACTTTTTCAATACTACAATTTTGACTTAAATTTAATGCTAGCTAAAAAAAATAGAGAAAGAGGAGATGCCTTGAATTTGCCGCATGAGCGTAGCGAGTGCAGTTAAACGCGAGTGGAATCCCCTCTTGACCAATAGTCGCACACAATATTTTATTTAACTACCACAAGGAATTTAAAGTCAATTTATTTGATATTTTATCTAAAATCTGACAGCTGTCAATCAACTTTAACCTTACTTTTTTTCAATTTTAACTTAAAGCCAACTTCAATCCATGGGAAAATTTCGTCCACAGGTTAAATGAAATGAAAAATATTAGTTGGTCTAGAAAATATATTGTTTTTTTATGAAAATGTCTTTTTTAACCTACAATATTTATTATAACAATAAGATTTACAATTGATATACAATGTCTATACATTTTTAATTACTTTAATTCAGATTTTTTATTATTTGAAAATCAATATTTCAATACCGTGGTATATTACACGAACTGTACCAAAAACTCTAATAAATAAATTTCAAATTATTTTTCATTATTAAGTATCTACTATTACTTAAATATCTATTTTGGCTATTTTTTAAGTTAGTTTTTTAAATGTTTGTTGCACATTCAGAGTTGAATGTACAAAAAGTGGGTTTTGACATACTATATGGCATCAACAGATTTCTTCAAGCTCTATTTGGTGGAAGATTACAGTGACTCAGACATGAAACGATAGGCAACCAGTGAACAACTTCCCTGTATAGTAAGTGTAATAATCCACATTCCTACAGGCGAAAACTATATTAAGTTGAGTTACTCCAGTCTACAATCAAAACTGAGTTACAATAGTCTTCGTTGCATGGGTCGATATAATATGTCAAAATAATAGTATTATTAAGGAGCCCTGTAAATTTTTAAGACAATTTGCACAAATGTAGCACCTAGTTACGTATTTAGAAATGTTGTGCACTGTGCGAATATCATCGGCCGCCCCAGTACCCGATAGCAAAAGTTAAAAAAATATGAATCACAACCTTTAAATCGAAATTTGTTAAATTTATATTTAAAAAAGTCATGACGAAAGTAAAAACAAATTTAATAAATATTACAAGTTGTTGGCAAAATCGTCAATAACGTCATCGTAGCTAAATAATTTTGCCAAAACTGCAGGGGCATGAATGTATAGAGGAAACCTCTATTCAGAATATCTAGGTTACTCGCCCAATTACTTGTATTAAAATGTCAAGGTGGGATTTTTGGGTATGGAGCATGGTACTATAAAATTGCTTTTTAACTTTTTGAATTATCATTAATACTTTAACTGTTACAATTAAAAAATCATAAAAATGAGACTGAAATGAAACTATATCTATAACAATTTTGTAGAACATTGAATTTACTAATGTACCAGGTTGCTATTTGCCTTTTTGACCTATCCACAATAGTTTAGAAATTTCCATTTTGTCCTTTAGTAAGGAAATTGACTCAATAAAAAATTTTGTTGAAAATGTTATGCTTCTTATGAATCATTAGTCATTTATATAAACAAAGTGGGTACATAGAATGCAGGGAAAAAATTTAAAAAAAAATATTTGTGTTATTCCTATTTTTTAAATAAACAGTCTATCATAGGTTTCTCTATGCAGTCTATTTACGAAAAAACGTCATCTTGAAGTTTTTTCGCAAAATCTATCATTTCACAGTAAAATTGCAAATTCACTTTACTGTAATTAAATTTTATCATATACTATGATTAGATTTAGTTTTCTGTTCTAAAATAATTTTTTGTAGTTTGATTTTTAATTGTATTTTTAGTACTATTTTAATTTAGTTTATTTCAATAGGTATAAACATTCTTAATTTGTTTGCTATAAAGAAAGTATGAGTTTATTAATTAAAATTTTACGTTTTCCTGAACCAACTGTTGATTTCAGAAATTTGAAAAAATAGATCAGATCATTTCTCTAAAAAGGGCATGTGGAAAAATGATAAAATGTGATTACAGTGAATTGGAATTTTACGAAAAAACTTCAAGAAGACGTTTTTTTCGTAAATCGACGACTTATTTTAAAAATATGGACAATTTTTGGCGTACGTTTTTTTTTTCTAAAAAGAGATACTATCACCCCCGTAGTGACGCCATTGCTTGTAGTATGAAAACGAATTTATTGCCCAACTATGGTACCTAATAAAAAAACAATACTCACCAAATTTCAATAAATTATGTACTTTAGTTTAAAAAAATTACATTGTATTTTTAAATTTAAATTGGTATTTCAAGCACTAAAACTGGACAATTGAAGATTAGAGAAATGTCTTATTTTCGGATAAATCCAGAATTGGCCTACGATCAGACGACCGGTAAATTCGCATTTTAAGAGGTCGTGGGAGCTAGACTCTGAGCTGGACGATCGATCCTTCAAGGCAAAGGAGGAAGTGTAATGTTTTGGGGTGGCTTTTTGATTGGTGAAAACATTTCTTTGATTTCCATTAGACAATCCCTATGAGGTTCAAGGTATGTGGATTTAGTTCTACAACCCGTAGTAAGGCTCTGAAAAGTTGCTTTCGTGATTTATACAGGATAATGCACCTCCATTTACCAGCAGAGTTGCCAAAAATTGTTTGGACTGTTTTAAAGTTTTAGAGTGGCCTCCTTGTTCACCGGATCCTAATCGAATTGAGAACTTGTGAAATAAGGTTAAAAGAAGGATTAAAGCTCGTCAAAATAGCGATAAACTAACAAAAGCAGTTTTAGAGGGGTACTCATTCAAAATTTTACTTTTTGAATTAGTACCAGCATTTTTTACTAATAAAATAGTCGTTATCACTAGAGTTAAAAGTAACTAATTTCTTTAATCGTTTGCGGCCAACAACAAAGTATTATTTGAAGCTTCATGGTTAAATGACCCATAAAAACAAATAGAGATACAAAAAGTTTAGCTCAAAACAGCAACACAGATAACACTAGTAAACAATAAAAAAAGGTCGGTAATAAAAATAGCTCAGCCCTATAGATTTTGACCTGCTCGACGCAAATCCGGCGCCCAAAAAATGTTCCGAAGTCTCGTTTAGCCGATACGGGCAGGGCCATGATACAAAGAAAAATTGTTAAATAATAACGATAAAAATTAGTAAATAAAAAAGGTCGGTAATAAAAATAGCACACTCCTATAGTCGGTAATAAAAATAGCACAGTCATATAGATTTTCACCTGCTCGACGCAAATCCGGCGACCAAAAAATTTTCCAAAGTCTCGTTTAGACAATACGGGCAGCACCATGATACAAAGAAAAATTGTTAAATAATAACGATAAAAATAAATAAACAAAATAATTTGAACGATAAAAAACAGCAAACATCAAAAAAACATACCTTAAATTTTTACAATATGTACAGATATGTTGTTCATGGAATGCTGAAATATAAGTTAAAAGTAACGTCATCCTAAAATTTTCAAATGGTGTATCTATGAAATAAATGGTATCATAATAATGTGCTCCAATTTTTTATTTACGACTTCAGAAAATTTTTTTTAAAACATTTTGGATCTATTTCAGTCATAAACGATCGAAAAATTCTATTTTTAACCAGGACCTTTTTTAAGTTAAAATTTGTTGCCTAGTGTAATTTATTCAACTTTAAAATATAGTGAACAATATTTATTGACAAATAAAATTGATCTTTATAAGAGCGGCTGATGGCCGAATGGGTTATGACAACAGCTTGACAAGATTGACAAGTGACAGACCTGAGTTCAATCCCTGGCTGGGTCAAAACTTTTTTTAAATTTAAATCTACTAATTTGACTATTTCATTCAGTAGAATTTGACCAATTATTTTTGACTAATTCATTTTAAGAGAGTAAGGAAAAGTTTTCCAAGAAGAAATTAATTAAACTTAATAAAAAGCATGCCTCGTCGAATTAATGTTTGTATTAATGGTAGCAATACTGATTATTTAATTAACAAAAACCTTAAATTTATTCCTAAATTCTAATTTACCGTAAAGAGAAATTTACATTTTTTGTAATATTTTTTTTGTAATAAAATTGGTTAGGATAAGGTTCTTTTTATTTTCAATATATTTTTTTTAAAGTAAAATACTGTTTCTCGTAATTACTGGGTGACTCCATATAAGATTGTTTTTCTTCGAAAATTTGTAGCATTGTTAATTAATAAAATTTTGGGATAAACAAATTAATATTGGACTTTCAAAAGATCGTGTACTCCCAACAATATTTATTATATTCTTAAA